CATTTTCATCCACGCTCATACTCTCCATGCTGCCTTCATTAATTCCAGGTTGCATCGCGTTCCCAGATCGCCAGCGGGTTGGCGTTGGGGTGACTGGCATATCTTGTGTTTCCGCGAATTGGGAGGCCACGTTGCCCACTCCGGGGGGTGACGCGTGTGATATACCACCACCACGGGGTCTCAGAGCCTCCATGGTGGTTTATAGGTGCCAGAAGGCCCCTATCGGTCGATTGACGCGTGAAAAAGACGTGTTTCTCTTGGGTGCTGATTTTGATGTTCCAGGCGCCCCGTCCACTTTACTGCTTAACTAGAGCGATCGTTTTGTTATTAGCGTTTGTGACTGTATGCTGATAAAATAAAGGTCAAACCCAATGTTGGACACTCTGAAGGTGCATCTGGAATCACGAGTGTGATTCAAAGTGTGTTGGCATTGGAGAATCACACGATTCCACCCAATGTTCACTTCCACAATCCGAATCCCAACAGTATGTCCAGTCCAGCCAGCTTATCTGCCAGCATAAGTACTAATCAACCGACAGTCCCGTTTGAACAGGCAAAGTTGAAGGTGGCCGTGGTGCCTACTCCGTGGCCAACAGACCGCAGCGAAAGAATAAGCATTAATTCATTTGGAATTGGCGGAACGAATGCTCATGTACTTGCTTATCTCTTTACTTGAAGTATATCAGTTAACATGGCCAGGTTATTCTTGATTCCGCTTCTTCCCTGCAGCGGAATGACATATCTACAGATGTAGATGACGGCCCGCAACTTCTGCTTGTCTCTGCAAAATCAAAAGACTCATTGGACGGTCAGATCGAGAGTCTACGGACGTATCTTGAGACAAAGCCATTCTTGACTGACGTTGCATATACCTTGGGTCTGAGGCGAGAGCACATGAACCATCGGGCATTTGCGCTCACTGAAGCCGATGGGAAAGTCTCGTCCTTTGCAAGGTCCACGTCCGTCAAGGCACCCATCATTTTTACATTTACCGGTCAAGGTGCCCAGTGGCCTGGAATGGGCAGGGAATTGATCGAGAACGTCCAAGCCTTCCGGGAAGATATCCAGATAATGGATCGAGTCCTGCAAGGGCTAGACAGCAAACCGTTGTGGTATATTGAAGGTATGCTTGCACCCTATATCAAAAGACCAAATCTAATAGTGTTATGAATGCAGACGAGCTTTTGAAATGCGACGATGAGAGTCGAGTGGCCGAAGCAGAATTCGCACAGCCCCTCTGCACGGCCGTTCAGATCGCTCTTGTTAACCTTCTTCGGACTTGGGGAACCGCACCTGATGCAGTAGTAGGCCATTCCAGCGGAGAGATTGCAGCCGCTTATGCGTCGGGTGCATTATCCGCCGAGGTGGCCATTCTCATCGCCTATTTCCGTGGTCAGGCAATGAAGAATCTGTCTGATCGTCCGGGTGGTATGGCAGCTGTTGGCCTTGGCTCTGAAAAGGCACGACGGTTCCTGAAGCCGGGTGTCGTCATTGGCTGCGATAATAGCCCGGATAGCATCACGCTTTCAGGCGACAGTGATGTCCTCGCGGAGATTTTGGATGATATCCACGCCGACGACCAGGATACGTTTTGCCGAAAGCTCGCCGTCAATGTGGCGTATCACTCGCACCACATGGTTGAAGCCGGGGATGCATATGAGAAGATGGTCTCTCCCCATTTCTCGCACCAACTATCCATGGTCCCAATGTACTCGACTGTTTCTGGGACAATCGTATCAGATCCCTCGATTCTGAGTCCCGGTTACTGGCGCAGAAACCTACAATCGCCCGTCCTGTTCCATACGGCAATCGAAAGAATCCTCAAAGACGACGAACGGTCAAAGCTCTTCCTGGAGATCGGACCCCATTCAGTGCTATCCGGCCCTATTCGGCAGTCAATCGCAAAGGCAAATACCAAAGAGCACCGATATATCCCGACCATCGTTAGAGGGAAAGATGTATGGAGAAGTATTCTGGCCACAGCTGGGAGCCTCTACACGCACGGTGCATCGATTAGTCTTCATTCCCTCCTTCCACAAGGCAAGGTCGTGACAGAAATCCCCTCGTATTCGTGGCAGCACAGCGAGATATATTGGGATGAGCCTCGTATCGTTCATGACTGGAGACATCGCCAACATCCTCATCACGAGCTGCTGGGCTCTCGGACACTAGAGTCCAACCATTTGGAGCCATCGTGGCGAAACGTTTTGAAACTGGAAAATGTCCTGTGGTTGATGGACCACAAACTGGGCACGGATATTGTCTTTCCCGGTGCTGGTTATGTGGCCATGGCAGGTGAAGCTGTGCGGCAAGTAACTGGCTCAACAGACTACTCTCTGAGAAACGTCTTCATCCGGAATGCACTGATTCTTGACGGCACTGCAGAGATCATGACGAGTCTGCGACCCGCGAAGCTCACAGATCAAGTCGACTCCATATGGTTTGACTTTACCATTTCAACCTATCAAAACGGAAAATGGAAAAAACATGTCGTGGGCCAGGCTCGCGAGGGGCCTGACCAGGAACATGACGTCCCCTCCAGACAGGCCTATTCTCGACAGGTTGACTCGGACAAATGGTATCGTGCGCTGAAAAAACGCGGGTTGGACTATGGCCCCCATTTCAGAGGACTGGAACAGATCACAGCAAGCCCGACGACTCAACATGCTTCCGCGGTGTTGCATAGCAGTGAACCGCCGCAGAGCAGTTACTATGCCCTTCATCCAACCGCCATTGACGAGTGCTTGCAACTGTTTATTGCAGCCGCGACACAAGGCATCTCGCGGCGAATGACACGGATGTGTATCCCGACTGCGATTGAGTCTCTATACGTCAGTGAAGGCCGTGGGCCACTGGACCTGAATGTTTCCTGCGAGACCATTGGTGGTACCATGGAAGTCATGTCAACGCTCTTCTCAAACAACCGTGTTTCCCTTCGTCTGGAAAAGGGGGTTTTCTTCAGCGTTCACGATCCAGAAGCAGATGACTCGAATACGCTGCTGGCATCGAATGTCCATTGGACGCCGCATATCGACTATATCCCCTTTGAAGAACAGCTCCCGCCTCATGAATCGATTTTCAACGGTCACACAGTGGCCAGGGCAACGAGTTTATATCTGGCAGAAGCATATCGTCTCACAAGGCAGTCGACACCGACTTCGGATCATCTCAAGAGATACCACACCTGGATCAAAGTTCAGTATCGGAAAATCCAGGAAAAGTCGCCTGACCTGGTTCCGGAGATGAGGGAAGAGGATGTTTCAGTACTCGGCCTCCACGGTCCCTATGCCGATGCGTTGCGCAAGGAAATACGCGAATTGGATCCCACGCTCATATTTACTCACCAACTCGCTGAGAGACTCTGCTATGCGCTGCACGACGTGTTGGAGGGTCGCACTAATCCTCTCGAACTTCTCATGCAGGATGATGGGATGAAACATTTCTTTATCGCCATGGCTGCGATTTCACCCTGTGGAGACTTCCTCACACTACTGGGTAACTCCAAGCCAACGCTTCGCATCCTCGAGATCGGCGCTGGAACGGGTGGATTGACATCCATTGCCCTCAAGGCGCTCAGCCCAGACAGTGGCCGGCTTTACTCACGGTACACGTTCACGGACATATCGGCGGGCTTTATAGCAGATGCCCAAGAGCGATTTCAAGAGTATGATGCCATTGAATACGCAACCCTTGATGTCACTCGCGATCCAGAAGCGCAGGGCTATGTTCCGGAGAGCTATGACCTGATCCTGGCTGGTAATGTGCTCCATGCGACGCCTCAAATATCCAGCACACTGCAGAACGTCCGCAAGCTTCTGGCCCCCGGTGGTCGGCTACTCATGCAGGAGCTCAGTGGAGATGTCCCCTTGATCAATTTCCTAATGGGAGTCTTACCGGGATGGTGGCTCGGAGAGAATGACGGTCGCAGAGACAGCCCGGCATTGTCTGTTGAGAGATGGCATGAGGAGTTGATCAAGGCCAACTTCACCGGTGTCGACGCCGTGCGATATGCCAATGACAGACCATTGAGCCAGACAGCGGTGCTCCTTTCGGGAGCCAAATCCGCCGATATGGATACAAAAGGAGGGCAGATCGGACTGCTCTATCTGTCACATATCTCGGAATGGGGCCGTCAGCTGGAGAACGCACTTTCCCTTGCAGGCTATACGGTGACGTGGTACACATTGCAGGAGACGCCTCCGTCTGGGTCTGATGTGATTTCTCTCATTGACCTGGAAGGACCATTCTTCGAGCATCTGTCGGCCGATGAATTCGGCTTGTTTCAAAGCTACGTATCCAAACTAGCCGGCAGTCATATTCTTTGGACCACAAGGAGTGTCCAAGTCACCTGTGAAGATCCTCGTTTTGCATTGGCATTGGGAATGGCACGGACGCTCCGATCAGAACTGGGCCATAAGTTTGCCACTGTGGAAATTGACCGGTTTGATGCCATCGCCGTGGCCTCTGTGCTCAAGCTTTTGCACACTTTGAGGGTTCAATCCCATCGGTCCTGGCTGGATTCGGATTATGAGTATGCCCTCCAAGATGGGAAGATTCTTTTGTCTAGGAATCAATGGTCTTCGTTGGATCAGCAACTGGCTAGCGTGCCACACCCATCGGCACCACGGTCATTGGATATCAAATTCAATGGGATTTTCGATTCGTTACGGTGGTCCATGTCCAGGTCGCCAATCTCACCGTCTGAGTTGAAAGAAGATGAAGTTGAAGTGGAGATGAAATATGTTGGGCTGAATTTCCGGGTGAGTGTCCCTCTACTATAACATGGCCACTTTCTAACCCGCACAGGACATGATGATCACCATGGGATTCCTGGGAGATACTGACCAGTTGGGATTCGAAGGCAGCGGGATTGTTCGCCGCGTTGGTTTGTCTGTGGAGCATGTCAGAGTCGGTGATAAAGTTGCTTTCCTCTATGATGGTCTCTTCAGCACTCGAGTAGTGGTCCCAGCCCTTCTTTGCCACACTGTCCCTGAGGAAATGTCTCTTGAAGATGCCGCGGGCAACTCAGTTATTTTCGCGACGGCCATATATTGCCTGATCACGGTTGGAAACCTGCAAAAAGACCAATCTGTGCTTATCCATTCCGCGTGTGGAGGTGTTGGCCTGGCTGCAATCCAGGTCTGTCGAATGATCGGGGCAAAGATATATACCACGGTTGGGACGAGTGAGAAGGTCCGCCATCTCACCGATGTTATGAAAATCCCAGCAGATCGTATCTTTGATTCCAGAAGCACATCATTCCTACAAGGCGTGCTCAGGGAAACAAATGGACGCGGGGTTGATTTGGTGCTGAACTCTCTGTCCGGCGAACTGCTCCATGCGTCGTGGAAATGCGTTGCCAGATTCGGCAAGATGGTCGAAATCGGAAAGCGAGACTTTCTGGGCCACGGTAAGCTGGACATGGATGTCTTCCTCAACAACCGTTCCTTCTGCAGCGTGGATCTCAGAATGCTAGCGTTTGCGTATCCAATGGTACTTCGGGGCCTGGTGGACCAGTTCGGAGAGTACTTCAAGCAGGGGAAATTGACGCCCATCAGACCCGTGACGGTTTTCGACGCTTGCAATGTTGTCAAAGCTTTCCGCCATATGCAGACGGGCCAGCATATGGGCAAGATTGTGGTTCGAATGCCAGACGATCCGGAAAGTCTGCCAATAACCAAGATACACGACACCACTCCCATCTTCAGGTCGGACGCCTCGTACCTTTTGATCGGTGGGCTCGGAGGACTAGGTCGAGCCATCAGTACCTGGATGGTGGAAAAGGGCGCCCGCCATTTCATCTTTCTGTCTCGGTCCGGGGCTGAATCCCCTGATGCACAGGCCTTCATCGACGACTTGGAAAGCCACAATATGGTCAGCGCGATGGTGGTGACTGGTGATGTCGCCAACAATGGAGACGTCCAGCGGGCTCTTTCCGCAGCAAAATACCCCATCGCAGGCGTTCTCCAGATGTCCATGGTGCTCAAGGATCAGATGTTCTCTAAAATGACCTTCGAGGAATGGACAGCCGCCCTGATTCCCAAGGTGCAAGGAACATGGAATCTCCATTATGAGCTTCAAAGCACGCCACTCGACTTCTTTGTTCTTTTCAGTTCGATCACGGGTATCATGGGATTTGGCAGCCAGGCCAATTACGCTGCAGCCAACACTTTCCTCGACTCCTTTGTAAAATATCGTCACTCCAAGCAGCTGCCGGCAAGTGTACTTGATATTGGGTTTATGGGAGACATTGGTTACGCAGCGGAGCAAAGCCCGCAAACATTGAAAGTCGTCACTACCATGGATGGCCAGATACTCGAAGAAAAACATCTGCTTCAAGCGTTGGAAATCTCCGTCTTGTCTCAATTCCCTCACCCTTCATCGCAAATCATTATGGGCATGGGAACAGTAAACGCGGTTACGGACCCTTTGATGCCGGAAGGTCGTTTCAGCCGTTGGCGGAATGCTACTGTAAGCGCCAAAGCAACAACTGTCCCTCGATCTCACGAACTGCGCTCGCTTCTGGACGAGGTTCAGCTCAATCCGAAACTGCTGGATGAGCAGTCCACTCTTGACAAAATCACCGTCGAGCTGGGTAAGGTCGTCGCTGCTCATCTTGCCTATGCGGAGGACCTGAGCAAGGAGGAACTCGCGAATATTGTCATCGATTCCTTGATGGGCATTGAAATCCGCAGTTGGTTCCGCCGTAACGCGGCGATCGATATTTCTCTGGTTGAGATATCAAATGCTGGTACCGTTGGAGGCCTTGCCGTCGTTGCAGTCAAGACATTGCGCAAGAAATACTTGGATGGAGAAGACGCTCCCAGCTCAGACGCCCTGCCATCATCGGCTGAACCGGATGAATTGGCAATTTGCTTAGAGGACATGAAGCTGGGCAGCGACTTGCGACCTCTTCCTGGACCTATCCCGGACTGGTGTTCTGAATCCGAGGGGAGAATCTTCCTGACGGGTGCAACAGGCTTTGTAGGCGCCTTTTTCCTCATCGATCTTCTGGCTCTCCCGCACGTGCAGAGCGTCACGTGTCTGGTTCGAACGACAGACCCCGAGTCCGGCAAGCGGCGGATCGAAAAGACACTGGCCCGATACGGCCTGCCCCTGGATGGGCTGGGCAAGGTGACTGTGGTCCCGGGCAATATCGCCTATCCGAACTTAGGAATGTCCAAGGAAGACTTTGACCATCACGCACAGACAGCGAGTGTTGTCTTCCACCTTGCAGCCCACGTCGACTACACCCTTCCCTACTCTGCTCATCGTGAAGCCAATATCACTGGACTCCTCAATGTGTTGGAATTTGTCAATGCCGGCCGTCTCAAGGCTTTGAATTACTGGTCTAGTATTTCCGCGTGCGGTACCTCCGCTCATTTATCTGGTGTTACTATCCCAGAGGACGAAAGGGCCGTGCTGGAGCGCAAGTTCTTCGAGTTGCACGTTGGATATACCAGAAGCAAGCTCGTTGCAGAAAGCATTGTGTGGAATGCCATTGCCAATGGCTTCCCTATCTCCATCTATCGCCCAGGAATCGTCATGGGCCACAGCGGCACAGGTGTCGACAAGCCCGAAGACCTGCTAAGTCGCCTCATGACCAACTGCATCCAACTCGGCGCTTTCCCAACCCCACCCCAGCAACGCAACCACATCGTCCCAGTCGACTACGTATGCGCAGCAATCCTTCACATCTCGCAGTCTCCAGCCAATCACGGCCACGCCTTCAATGTCGTCCCCCCAGATCAAGCCGAAACCATCACAATGGCGCATACCTTTGAGATCCTAAGCGCCTGCTGCTCCACTCCCCTCCGAGCGGTCTCTTCAGCCGAGTGGCTGCAGCTGTTCAGGGAACGAGGCAAGCAGGGCATGAAAGTGGCGACTCCAATGCTCCAAGAACGACTGGCGGACAGCCTCATCTGGTGGGATACCACGGGCGGAACAGCCACGTATGAAACTGCAAATCTGCGCCGCGCGTTGGCGGACTCGCCTGATATTCTGAATGTCAAGCCTATGCCGGAGCTGCTCCGGACATATTTTGGCCATTGGGAGGCTGTAGCTGTGGATACGAATGACACTGTCTGAGGATATAATACTGTGAGGGTTCGGTCTGTCGTAGAAAATAGCATTTATTCATGTACAATAGAATTTTCGGTCAATATTTATCGATCTAATGTTTCAGTATTGAGATGGATAATGTTGACGATAGTCGAGTGCCAGAATATGTTTCTGCAATGATGAAATAAATTCTCTGCAATTATTATTATTATTATTATTATTATTCATACAC